AGCCCTCAACACGGGCATGTGCCCTGACCGGGAATCGAACCCTGATCGCCTGGATCCTAGGTCGACACTTAACCGCTGAGCCATGCCCGGCCGGGCTGGGAATATTTTTTTAATTTTATCTTTCTTTTCTCCCCCTAATGACTGATTTGATTTTTTTATGATCAAAGGCAATGTGGCTAGCCCTGGCCAGATAGCTCAGTTGGTTAGAGCATCATCCTGATACACCAAGGTGGTGGGTCCAATCCCTGGTCAGGGCACTTACAAGCATTAACCGATGAATACACCATGGAATACTACGCAGCTGTGAAGAAGAAGGATCTTGTACCCTTGGGACAGTATGGATGGACCTGGAGAATATTATGCTTATGCTAAGTGAAATAAGCCAGGCAGAGAAAGACAAACATCACATGATCTCGCTTATATATGGAATCTAAAGAACTTAATAAACTGATGAGCAGAGTAGATTCAATGGCATGGAAGCACAGACCAGACTGAGGGATGTCAGAAGGATGGAGGGTGGGTGGGTGGAGGAGGAGAGATTAACCAAAGAATTTATATGCATATATGCACAACTCAAGGACACGGACAATGATGGGGAGAGGGACTGGGGAGGGGGATGGGACAGGGTAGAACAGGTCATTGGGGAGAAAAAGGGACACCTGTAATATTTTAAATAATTTTAAAAAACCCAATGAATGCATAAATAAGTGGAACAACAGATGGATGTTTCTCTCTCCTGTCCTCTCTAAAATAATTTTTTAAAACAAACAAACACACAAATAAAAACACAAAGGCAATGTGGCAAAAACATGGGTTTTGAAGCAGAAACCTGTGTTCTAACCCAGGTTTCAAGAGTGACTAGTTGTGTGACCCTAAAGAAATTAGTTCACCCCTGAGACCCTTAGTTTCTTCAAGTACTAAATGAGATTATTGTCTGTAACACTTCCTAGAGTTTTAAAAATAAGATGATGTATAAAAAACACCTAACTTTACCATTGAGTATATATTCAATGATGGGTGCTGACTAAATTATTTCTCTTCATTATACATATTCTTCTAAGATAATTTTGTGCTGGGTTGTCAACAAGATGGTTTGATTGGGGAAATCTATAGTACCAATATCTCTAGGATTGCTGGGGGAAAAGGCAGGGGCTGTGAGAGTCTGTACATTAAATTGATTTGGGAATTCATGAAAGGGTGCATTGACAAGGATGACACACAAAGTACTGTCTCCCTACCAACATTTTTTATGGGAAGACACACAAACTTCAGAGTACAAGAAAATCAATTTGAAGGCTGGTTAAAAATGTAAATTTCTGAATTCCACCACTAGAAGTGCCCAGTAATCGGCATTTACAATCATAAAAAATGATTTATAGGCCCAGTTAGGAATGATTTATAAGCCCAAGTTGAAAATGAGCACACATTGATAGACAGTGGATTGCACTGTGTGACTTATTCAGTTATTATTAGTTGAAAACAGAGTGAGGATCTGTGTTAATTATATATGTGTGTCTATATATATATATATATATATATATATATAGAGAGAGAGAGAGAGAGAGAGAGAGAGAGANNNNTGTGTGTCTATATATATATATATATATATATATATAGAGAGAGAGAGAGAGAGAGAGAGAGAGAGAGAGAGAGATTTGTTGTTCCACTTATTTATGCGTTCATTGGTTGATTCCTACATGTGCCCTAACCTGGTATCAAACCCACAATCTTGGCCTTTGGAGATCACTCTCTAACCAACTGAACTACCCAGACGGGGCTTTTCACTGATATTTTTGGGTAAAAGTAATTTAATTAACTTTACCAGCAATGCTCGAATCCATTTATGATTACAGATGTGGCTCACTTTATAGCTTTGCAAATAAGAGAATTTGAGCTATTTGGTCTTGTTACAAATTGTATGAAAGGCAGGAATAAAGTGTGTCTTTGGATTCATCAAATGATTAGTGAAATTAATGTTTAAATGATTTTGAACATTTCTGAGTGAGCTCTTGAATGTTTTCCACTTAAAATATCTATTTGAGTTCTTTTTGTCCATGGTCACTTACTATAGGAAGTATCTCTTTTTTTACTAAATCTGTGAAGACGTTACTCAATTCTGTTTGGGAGTCTTCCATAAGATTGTTCTAAGAATTGACACCGTGGATTACATTTTTATAAAATGTTAAGATTCTTTTAATG